TGATCAATTAAAAGATTTTACCAATTTAGCAAAAAAAGCTAGACAAGATTATATTATTGAAGTATTTAGTAGAAAAATAAAAATTCATTATCTCAACGTATTCCAGTAACCCAACAAGAAGAGAATGAATTAAGATTTACTCATGTAGAAATTCTAAGAAGAATAGAACAGCTTCTTAATCAAGTTGACAATAATATCAATTTAAAATATAGTACAATAGTTTCTAAAACGAAAAGTGAATTAATAGATATATTAAATGAGCTAGAAAATATTCTTTTTATCATTTGACTATATCTATAGTATTTTTGTGCGCTTTTTGGTGGGAAAATGAAATATCAGTATTGAGTATTAATTAGTATTATTTAAAACCTCGATTATGATAATGATTAAAATAATAACCTACTGTTTTTAGCATCAGTACAATTACTACTTTCTGGTGAACGCAACGAATAAAATGAAAAAGTGCGAAATTGGTTTCAATATTTTGGTGAAACGCAAATATTTATATCAATTTGAGCAATATAAAAAAAAATGAAGAGTACAAAAATACATTTAGATGAGAAAATTTATATATAGCCTTCCGCCTAGTTTTTGAATCCAAGATTTTTTATCACCAAAAAATCATTTAACCTCAAACACACTTATCCTGTTTCAATTTCTTTATTAAAAAAAATCATTTTATAAGCGATAGGAATGAGTTTCGTTATTTCCGCAAACACCGCTGCAGCTTGTATGTCATTTATTTCGTTCTTGTGTCTTTTATTATTGAACTTGGGGACGCCAGTTATCAAGTCAATTTATATTGCGAGTTATGAATATGGGGGTGACAAGAGGTTGTTTGGAATATACGGCGAGTGTAAGCAATTTTATGATAGAAGATCTCGTGATTTTATTATTTATACATATCAGTGCGAGAGTAATTTTGAAAGTTTGAACATTTTTGGCGGTACAAACTTTTTGTTGGTTATGCATACCATTGGTAACGTATTTACTGATTAATAATACCATTAAAGTGTGAAAATATATTATATACAGTATAATAATTATTTGAATATATTTTCAGGCTTATTAACATCATTAATGTTGCTTTACATCGGAATTAAGGCTCGTAGTCATGTCGTGAATAAAAGAAAGACATGGGTCTTTGCATTATTCAATTCTTTAATCATTTTGTTAGCAATGTCAGGACAAATTGATGTGTTTTTAAAACTCCAAAATTGGCTTAGTCAACAAAATAGTAGTGGAACTTTGAAACTCGGAGATGGTGGATTTAGTCTTGTGATGATATCCCTTATATTCTCACTCTTGTCAGTTTTTGCATTTTACAAAGGAAA